TAGCTGAGACAGCCCTTCGCTCCCCAAAGGCTTGCGATCCCTGGTGGACCCCCCCTCTGTTTGGGGTTGCTGGTTTGACCAGATATGGGTTGGGGGCACCTACAATCAGAGCAGCCCCCACCTCCAAGCCTCCTTGTATTTTGAGCCATCTGCTGCTAACCACAAGATCAGCAGTTCGAGACTACCAGCCTTTCTGCAGGGGAAAGACGGGGCTTTCTGCTTCCATGGGGAGTTACTGCCTCGGAAACCCACGGGGGCGGTCCCCTGTGCCGTACGTAGCACCGCTATGAGTCAGCATCTGGACAGGCATGGGATGAATTTGTACTGAATCTGTCCGGCCATCATGTGCCGGTATCATCCACTCAGTGTGGCCACTGTGTGGTTGTCAGGTGTCTTTGAGTCAGCTCCGACCCCTAGCAACCTTGTGTGCACAACAGAAGGAAACACTGCCCGGTCCGCGCCAGCCTCACCGTCATGGTTCTATGTGGGCCCATCGTCGCAGCCACGGTGTCCGTCCATCTCCTTGAGGGTCTTCCTCTTCCGCTGCCCGTCGACTTTACCACACACGATGTCCTTCTCCAGGGACTGGTCTCTCCTGACAACATGTCCAAAGTATGTGAGACGGAGTCTGGCCATCCTTGTTGTAAAGGCGGAACTGAGGGAACAGGGAGGAAGAGGGACATAACTGACAGGACAAGGGAGAGCAGAGACCAAAATAGCTTTATTGGTGGGGGGGGGGGGGCTCCCCGACAGGATGACCTAGGCCAACAGGTCAGGGAAGTCATGTGAGGGTTTTTAAAGGGGTGGCAAGGAATGTATGGCAATTACGGCAATCAGCATATGGGCTCTGGAAGCTCCGAGACTTGCTTGTGGACTCCCCCAGGCTGTCTTTGAACTCGGAACACCTGGTTTCACTGGTTATCGTATCTGGGTTAGCGTATCTGGCGCCAGGCCAGCTGCTGCGGACTTTTGGGATGTGCAGGGCCCTGACCTGCTTCAGCTTAGTCCAAACGGGGTGAGTGGGTGGGGGCTGCCTAGTTCAGACCCGACCCAAACACTTGCCTCCCAGGAACATTCTGGCTGTACGTCGTCTGTCCTTTTAGCATTTCAGCAGTATTCTTCTCCAGCACCACAAGGTCAAGTGGGTTGCTTTTTCCTGCAGGAGAAAGCGAGGCTTTCTACTTCCATAGAGAGTGACTGCTCCCAGCGGCAGCTCTCCCCTGTCCTGTGGGGTCAGCGTCCTCCTTAGTCAGTGTCCAACACGCACCCGAGGCCATGGGAAACACCATGGCTTGCATTAGGAACACCTTGGTCCTCAAAGTCACCTCCTTGCTTTCCGACTCTCTAAAGAGGTCTTGGGCAGCACATGTACCTCATCCACTTCATCTTTCGGTCTCTCGATTGCTGCTCCCACGAACACCGATTGTGGATCCAAGCGAGGCGAAATCAACGCCAACCTTTCCTCTACTGATGATGATGCGGTGAGCACTGGGGTCTTCTTGCGACTGAGTTGTAATCAATCCCCCCACCCCATCCTCTTTCTTCTTCATCGAGGAATGATCCAGGCACCCGGAGAACACAGCCAATGCTCATGGAAGCAGCACCCTAGAGATCAAATGGCTCATCGCACTGGCCAGTCTGCTTGCACAAGAGCTCTTTAGAGCGTTGCAGAGCCAGGCTGTCCCTTTGAGGACCAAGTTATGGTGTCTCCATACGCTTTCGCATACGAAAATATGGACAATCGACACAGAAGACGGCAGAAGAATGGATGCCTTCGGATTGTGGTGGCAGCAAAGAACAGACGGATCAGTCTGGGAAGAGGCACAGCCACCATGGTCTTAGAGGCAAGGCTGGCGAGACTTGGTCTCCCGTACCTTGGACGTGTTCTCAGGAGAGCCAGCCAGTCCCTGGCGAAGGACGTCATGCTTGGCGACGTAGAAGGGCAGCGAAACAAGGAAGGCCCTCGAGGAGAGGATGGACACTGCGGCTGCCAGCAGAACAAACACTTGTGAGGACAGCGCTGGACCCAGCAGTGTTTGTTCTCTCGTGCAGAAGATCGCTATGGGTGGAAGGGAGGCCAGGAGGGCTGGGAGGAGGGGATCCTTCAGGGCGGGATCTGATGGGAGAGAATGTCCAAATAACAATGGGAGGGGGGAGGGGAAGGGGCTGGAGAGGGCAGGTCGCAGAGGAAGAGGCAGGACAGCAGGGCTGGAATTTATCCCCAGGCAGAGGGGGTTACTGAGGGTTCTCCCGAAGGGAGGGGACTCCCTGAGGGCATTGAACTCCCGAGGGCATTGTAGCTGCCGCAGGTGGGAGATGGTGAGGGCCTGGCAGGAGCCTCTGGGGGAGGGGGGTGGCCCTGTAGGATGAAGCCCAGTGGGGCGGGAGCTGGGGGTGGGTGGGATGGGGGCGGAGGCAACTGGCCAGGACCCGCCGAGAGGCAAGGCCACGGGCCAATGGGACACCGTCCTGGAATGGCCAAGGCGGGCAGGTCTGAGGTCAGGTTTGGGCTTGCTGGTCCAGGGAGTGAGGCCGCAGTGGAGGCAAGCCGGCAGGCAGGCAGCATCAGCTGTGTGGCGTGGACGCCGCACGTGAGGGGGACCCAGCCTGAGCCGAGGTGGGGGCCGAGAGACAGGTGAGGACCCGGAAGCCCATCTGGGCGGGCACAGACCCGAATCTGGAACAGTTTGGGGCAGGACTGGCTGGTGTGGGGAGGAGGAGAGGTGGGGGGCAGGAGGACAGAGGGGCCCTGAAAATGGACACAGCAGATGATTATGGGGTGCCGCCTTGCTGGGGGCGGGGGGGCGGGGGGACAGGGGGAGGTGTCTGCGGTCATGACCAGCACCTGGGTTTGGGGGCTAGGGTAGGAGCCTTGAGTACTTCCTGCAAGCTGTATCCTCAGGGTTGGGGGTGGGGGGAGTGGGGCCGCCCCCCCCAGGCTGGAAGCTGAGGGCAGGAAGCGCAGACTGGATCTCAGGGCCTCCAGGTTGCTCCCAGGTGTTAACAAGTTGACATCCTTGGAGCGGCGGGCCAGCCTTGGCCCCACTCCAGCCCCTCCTCACGCCCAGGTAAGGGCTGGTTGGGCCATTGGCCAGTCTCTCTGGGAGGTGAATGGGGGTACAGGCTCAGCCTGGGGAAATGGGGGGCTCTGGGTAGGCCCTATGACCTCAGAGTCTAGGTCAAGTCCACGCATGCTGCTGCTGCTGCTGCTCAGATCACCCAAAAAGGCAGATCAGAACGCAGCACCCATTACCAGCCCCACACCCACCCAAAGTGCTGCCCTGTCCCTGCCCTCTCTGGAGGCCTGGACACCCCCCTTCCCTCCCCCGACTCAAAGCTCTCCTTCCAGCCAGCCCTGTCCGTACCTTCCCTGGAGGTCAGGGACATGGCACATCACAGACCAAACCTTGGGATTTTATGATCCTAGAGTAGATTAAGACTATAATGTTTGAGCTTGAAGTCAGTTTCGACCAACCAGTTTACCAAGTGCCTCCTTCCTGCTTCAGCACAGGGGGCGGGGGGGAGGGGGGGGCATGCTGCCTGATGGGGGGTGGAGGGGCAGGTCCCCATCTGCACCATCCAAAGTATTGTGGGCTGGATCAGAACTTGACCCCCTGGCCGCCCCACCCGCTTCAGCCAAGACGTCTTGTGAAATGATGTCTCGTCGAGCGAGGCACGGGGTCTGCAGGGTTTCCTGAGTGACGAGGGTGGGCCTAGGGGAAGGCCCCCCCAGAGCCACCAGAGCAGGACGTGGCGGGCAGGTGGGCCAGCCTGTCTGTCCCTGGTCACTGGACTGCCCAGGCCGACTCTTTCTCCTTGGCTGTGCTTTTCTGTACCACCTCACCTTCTTGTCCCCCATTCCCACAGCCTCTTTCCGGGGAACAGGAATTGCTGGGAGGGGAGCGAGCCACCCACCCCAAGACCCCTGAGGCCCTTTGACAGAGGGGGCCTTGTCAGCAAAGCAGACAGAGGTGGTTCTACGCAGAGCTGTCCCTGGCTGGAGGCCAGTGGACTCTAGAACACGGACTAAAGACACAAGCGCCCCTGGCACCTCTGGCTGCCCCCTGAGCCCGGCTGGCTGCTAGCAGGTACCCACCAGAGCCCTGGCATGGTTAATGGCTTACCAGCTTGTGACACATTCAAAGCCTGTGTGAGCTCTCAAAGTCCAGCATTGCCGCCTCCCTTCCCAGCCAAACACCTCAGGCTCAGGAAGGGCCGGGGCCAAGGGGCATGCCTTCTCCCTGGCCCCAGACCAGATGCCGTTCCTGGGAACTCCAGGCCATGACTCAAGTGGGGGCCCTCTGCCCAGTCCCCTAGTGTTTGGCCCTCCCTGGGGCCCTGGCCTCTCTGCCCTTGGAGATCTGTCCCTCGGGGCAGGAGGGAACGTTCTTTAAGAGAAGGCCCAGAGGACCCTGTGTTTGGACGGCACGGTGAATGAATGAATGGATGACTGAATGCTACTCTGCTGGGCCGAGCAAGGGGCAGGTTATGGCAGGGGGCAGGCTGCAAGCACAGGGACGTGATCAGGGATAGGCAGGCCAATTGGGTGTCAGTCCCCTTACTCTTCAGGCCTCCACTGCCCCCCTGACCCCCAGCACACCTGCCAACACCTCTGGAAGTTGGGGGACAGAGGGCAGACTCCCTTTTATCCACATAGGACAATCCCCTGCAACCCTAGCTAAGGGAGGGGGGACAGGGCATGTTTGGGGGGGTACCCCAACCCTGCAGTTGTGGGGGGGACCTAAGGTTTAGGTGCTCACACTCTTCCCCTGACCCGGACCTCACCTCCTCCCAGCACCTGTAGATCTGACCCTTGGGCTGAGCCTTTGTCTCTGTGGAAACACTGCTTTGCCCAGCCCAGAGAATTCAATCGCTCAGGAGCCACCTCAGGACTCACAGCCTCCCCTCACCTGGAACAACTGTCCTGTGTCTTTAAAGCCGCCCTCCCCCGGGAGGTGGGGGGGAGAGGGGAGGAGCAGCAGTGGCTGAGGACCAGACTCTGAGCTGGAACTCCGAGGGACTGGCCAGAACCTGAGCTAAGAGCCTGCTGGTGGGAGTGTGGCCGCAACCCCTTGTGCTGTGACCGCTCTGAGCTGTTGGATGTCACAGGTGAGAGAGCTCAGGCTGGGGACTCAGCCAGCCCCGACCTACTTGCCAGCTTCAGTTTACGCATCTGCGAAATGGGCATAAGCTGCCCAAGGGGAAGGCTGCTGGTGGGGGTGTGGGTTGAGCCGCATGTTCCTGGTGGCAGTGGCAGCGTTGGCTATTCCTTGGCCTACTCACAGCCATCAAGGTCGGCAGTTCAAGCCCACCAGCTGCTCGGAGGAAGAAAGATGAGGCAGTTTGCTTTCAAAAAGATTTGCAGCCTTGGAGGCTCCAGGGGCCTCCTATATTCTCTGTCCTGTAGAGGTGCCTGTGGGTCGGAGTGGACTGGGCAGCAGTGGATTTGGGTGGGTTTGGTCCAGGCTGGCTGTGTGGGGGGGATGATGACTCTTCTCAGAAGCAGCTTCCTGGAATCAAGTGGATCTCTTGGAATTGATCAGGAGGGGAGCCCTCCAATCCCAGGTGCTCAGTGGGGGTGCGCCAGCCCTGGGGTGCCAGCTGGGTCAGGGGCTGGGTAGGGCTGGGTGGGGGTGGGATAGGGTCTGTTGTGCAAGGGGCGTTGCCGCCGATGGAACACGTAGCGGTTGCGACAGTTTCCTCTGCAAGTCTGGTATCACATCCTGGCTTGGCCTAATCCCAGCCCAGTGCCACCTGAGGGAGGGCAGTGTCCAGCTTCAGGCCGGGGAAGCACCTTGGGGCCCATCTGGATCCAGGAGCCTCTGAGGTGTCTAAGCTCTGTTTCCTGGCCAGGCTGTGGGGTGAATGACACCTGGCTGACGCATCCTGGACTAGGCTGCGGGATCAACAGGGGAGCTCCAATTCTTCCTGCTCAGTCCTCACTGCCCCAGCATCCCAGGAGCTGCTCCACCCAGAATCCATCAGGAGGTGTAGGTGTGTGTGTGTGTGTGTGTATAGGTGTGTGTGTGAGAGAGAGATAAGGGAACTCACCACTGTGTCTGGCCTTGCTCTGTGGTGACGTGGTTTCCCTGGAGCCATCATGCCCCTCATCATTCCCCAGGCTGCCTGGGGCAGAATCTCCTCCTTCATTCTGTGCCTCATACATCTTGTGATATGACCACTGATTAAACACTTCCCCTTTTGGGGGTGGCTGGCAGCTGCTGCTAGTCATCCTGTGGGCTCTACCACAGGATCTCCCCCAATTGGCCCCCCTTGGAGACTGGGTTGCCCTCTACCCCCTGCTTCTGATCCTGATGTCCCCAGCCACACAGGGCAGGGAGGATGCAGAAGTGCGTCCTGGAACTCAGCCCCATAGCCTCCTCCCAGCTTTGACCCTGGAGGGCCAGGTCCCCTGGGGGCTATATCCTGGGCCTCCTGTCCATGGATCCTACCCCATCCATCCTTGGACCACCCTAGTCTGCGAGAGTCAGCTGGGGGGAGGAGGGAGATTGGAGAGGGGCAGGGCTCTGCATCAGGGGACTGATGGGAATTGCAGGGAGGGTGTGTTGGGAGGTTCCCTCCTGACTTAGCCGGAGGTGCGGGGGATCAAAGCAGGACCTGTCAGGTGTCGGGGTAGGGGTGGGGGGAACTCTGTCATGGCAGGGGGAGGGTGGTGGTGGGCTGACGGGCTCTAGGGCCTGTGCACAGTGGGCCTGGGGTGGGGTGGGTGGTGATTCAGGAGATGCTGACCCTTGTCCTTGGCAGACTGGAGTGGGGAGCAGTGTCCAAGGTCCAGACAGGAGCAGGGGTGGAGTGGCCAGGCATATGGGCAGGGAGTGGCCCTGGCTCCTTTGAGCCAGACTCTGTTCAGCTGTCAGACACGGGTTCCCCTGGCCTCGGGCGCTAACATTCCAGTTCCAGGGCAGGTGGGGAAACCGGTCCTGGAGTTGTGGGTGCGGGAGGGTTCCATGGCCTCGGACTTGGGGTGTGGTAAGGCGGCTGGGCCTAGGTTCTGAGCTACTTCCAGAACCTTCTCTGCCAGACAAGGCGCTTGCTTCCCTGGAGTTCCAGACGCTCAGAGCAGGAACAGTGGGAGCCTGGGGGTGGGAGCTCACCAGGGGATATGGAGTCCAGGAGAGAGGGGGGCCCTGCCCACCCTTGACCCTGGTTCCAAGCTGGAGGCCCCCTGAGGCATCCTGTGGGAGGGGAAGGCGGGGCTCTGAATGCTCCTGGGGGGGAGGGGGGGAAGGCGGCTGACCCGTGATGAGATTTTCCCAGGCGGCCAGTCTGCCTCCTTCCCTAGTCCAGCCAGCTGCCTGAGAGAGGGGCCGCATGGCCTCAGGTAAGCAGGGTAGCCTATGTTGCAGGCTGAGGACTGGGCCCCACTCTCCAGCCTCGGCATCCCCTCCTGATGCCCACTTTGGGCTGGGCTGGACCTCTGGGCTTGGACGTGGGACTGTGGCATCTTTGCGAACTTGGGTGGGGGTGCAGGGGCTGGAAAGCGGATGCTAGGCGCCCCGCAGGGTGTCTTCCGTAGGGGGTGGGGTGATGGGGGATGGCTGTCTGCAAGGGCTGGGCTGCCCTCCTGATGTCTGACCCTTCCCCCATTCCTGGCAGGCTGCTGGGAGTAGAAAGGTGGACCTATGGGCAAGAGGCTGGTGTGGGAGGAGAGGGTCACAGGTGCCCACTCCAAGGTCCTGGGTGGGCAGCAAGTGGCCAAGGGGGCCTTGCTCTGGCTGCACAGCTCAGGAAGGGTGGGCCTGTGCCCTCTTGTGACTGGCCAAAGTGGCAGCCTCTGGGGCCTGGGGGGCTGGCTAGCTCTACCCCACTGACCCAGCCACCTAGGCTGAAGGCCAGTAGACCCCGGGGCTTCAGTGACTTACACAAGGACTGGGGTGGGCTGTATGCTGGGCAGTGGCAGGGGCATGGCCTGGAGGGCACTGTCTGGGGCTTTGGGCTTTGATGGGGACCTGGTTTGAAGCCGTGGGAAGGAGAAGCAGTGGCCAGTCACAAGGAGGACAGCGGTCCTCCCACACACATCACCCCCATATTCCCTGTGTCACAAGGACCCCTCCAACTGGATTCCACACCTCTCCCTCACATCAGGGTCAGGTGCCTGGGCCACTGGCGCCGCCACAGGGGCCCAAAGTCCTCCTGCCTGCCTTTGCCCAGGCTGGACAAAGGCAGAGGGGGAGAGGATGCAGCACTCAGGGGACTGGCTGGTCAACTCTCTTGGGAGTCCCCAAACTTTCCACTATCTTGCCCACCCACTGCCGGCCACCCCTAGGGACGAGGAGAGCTAACAGGCTTTAGGGGGAACAGACAGCCTCCTCCCCTCTCCCTTGGGGAGGCTAGGTTATCAACTAAACCCACAATGCACCCCCAGGGACCCCGAGCAATTCTAACACCTTGCTCAAGGTCGCCCCCACCCCATTTCACCTGGGAGGTGAGCTAGAAGCAGCCCTGGAGGAGTGTGGAAATGCAAGCACCCATGCCTCACCATTTGTAGGCAGAGCAGGGGGCTGCCTGGCTGGGAGGCTCTGAGAAGACCCTTGCACGTGAGGGAGACCCCAGTTATCTCATCGGACCTGTCAGCTGAGCCCTGCCCCCTCTCCTGGACACCTCCCACAGTGGAGCTCAGGGTGCCCATCCCGGAACAAGAGGTAAGTCCCATCCCATCCTGTGGTGGGGGACTGTGGGGCACCCTCTTCAAAGGCAATGGGGTGCACTGGGCCTGGGTCCAGGTGGAGGGACAAGGGTGGGCTGGGCCCCTCGGCAGTGAGGGAGTTCCTGGCCCACCCAAGATGAGCAGTGAGGATTTCCAGATAACAGGGAGACCAGGGGAGGGGGTCTGGGGCTGGGGGAGACCCAGGCTATGTCTGGGAGCTGGAAGTGCACCCTGACTCTGCTCCCTCCCGCGTCCAGAGCCATGAAGAAGCGGTATGCAGCGCTGGGCCTGGTGGCCATCGTCCTGGTGGCCCTCATCGTGGTCCTCTGCCTCTGTCTGCCCTCATCCCCCCAGCACCCCGATCACGTGTACCCCCGAGCGGCTGTGGCTACAGACGCCAAGCGCTGCTCAGAGATTGGGAGGTGAGTGGGCCGGGCTTCGTCCAGGACGGGGTGTGGGGTCTGCGAGGTGACCCAGGCCCAGGGGCCACCCCTCACACATGGCCCTGGGCAAGACCCTCACGCACAGAGACTGACCTTCTCTGCTGTCTGGGGAGCACAACGGAGAGGAGGAAGGTGCTGACCCTGAGGGCAGCCCCCTCCACACCGACTATCTGTGGGTAAACTCCACTGTGAGCATTAATTTCCGACCGACTTACGTCACGCTGCCCTACAATCCCACCACCTCCAGCACTTCCTTTACCTCCATCTCCCCACCTCCATCTTTACCTCCATCTCCACCTTGACCTCCATTTCTACCGCCACCACCTCTGCCTCCACTTCCTCCTCTACCCACCCCACCTCCTCCTCCTCTTCTAACCCAACCCCCACCATGGTCAGCAGTCCATCAGGAGCCCCAGTGCCCCCACCTGTGTCAGAGAACCCGGCCCCACAGAGGTGTTGGTCAAGGCTGCGTTTGGGGGCAGTCTGTCACCGGACCTTCCTGCCTTCAGAGCCGGGTGGCCTTGGCCCTCCAAACCTTTTGGTCAGCAGCCCGGCACATGAACCATTCGCACCCCTCCCACACGGCTGGGGACAAAGCCCAGTTTTCATTTAATTAAAGATTCTAACAGGAAAAGAAAAAGTTATTAATTAAAGAACCAGGTTTTGTTTCTTTTCAATGCCAGTCGGCTGGGCCTGTCAGAGGAGCGGCTCGGGCCAACGCTGGTGGTTCTGACTGCGGCTGAGAAAGTGGCACCCCACGGGGCAGTCTACTGTACGGAGAGGGGGCTTCAGGACGCTCACTGGGAGGCTTAGGGGAGCTTTCAGGAGCTTCAGAGAACCCCCAGATAACTGCTTTCTGATAAAGGGCCAAAAGACATTAAAAGGGAAGAGTCCCTTCAGTTAACTTGGCCTCAGGTAGTGGCTTCCTAACAAGCTTTGTCTTGGCCGACTGCCACCAGCTTCAGAAGAGGGGCTTCAGAGAGCTCGTGGGGTAGGGGGCTGGTTTAGGGAGCTCTTGGGTGAGGACTGTGCGGAGCCGGAGCAGCCTCCATGGACATGCCCCCAGGTCCTTCCCAGTGTGGCTGCTCTTCTGAGGCCCCTCTGACCTCTGCCAGGCGGGAATGCAGCCCTCCACCATGTGGGTCACCTGGGCCTCCCGTTGTACCATGGCAAACATGCTATTGAAAGAACAACTACACACTCCACATCCCTACGGGCGCTCAAAGGAGCTGTGGTGGGCAGTGGCTTAAGCACCCGGCTCTTCAAGGCCAGGTCAATGGTTCGAACCTAACAGCCTCTAGGAAGGAGAAAGGTGAGGCTGTTTGCCCCTGGAAGATGGGCAGCCTCGGAAACCATTGGGAGGCTTTCTGCTCTGCCCTGTGTGGTTGCTGTGAGTTGAAAGTGACTCCATAGTGGGTTTAAGGGGTCCTCTTAGCCCCCTCTGGCAGTGGGTTTAGGGGTCCTCATAGCCCGCTCTTGCAGTGGGTGTCTGGGGTCCTCACTGCCCCGCTCCCCCCGCAGGGATGCACTGCGGGACGGTGGCTCGGCAGTGGATGCGGCCATTGCGGCTCTGCTGTGTGTGGGGCTCATGAATGCCCACAGCATGGGCATCGGGGGCGGCCTTTTCTTCACCATCTATAACAGTACCACCCGTGAGTGCCTGGCCGGGGGGTGGGGGGGACATGAGGGGCTGGCTCTTCTGGGCCTGGTCTTGGGCCTCAGGCTGGCCCTGGTGCCCACGGGGAGAGGGTCCCTGTGTTGATCTGGGCCAACAACCACCGGCCTCCCCCTCCCAGGGAAAGCAGAGATCATCAACGCCCGGGAGGTGGCCCCTGCGCTGGCCACCACCACCATGTTCAACAGTTCGGAGCAATCAAAGGAAGGTATGGGGGTGGGCGTGGGGCTGGGCCGGATGCTGCGCCTCACCCAGAGGGGGAAAGTGAGGCCCAGCCAGCACA